TTTTCTGTGTTGTATTTGGGGACCTTGGTTTTCCCCTTGTGTATGTTAAAGCCTACTGATACAGAGACTGCTGCTATGCTGGCTGTCTTTATCTGCATTTGTTCGTGTGTATGCGATAGGAGATCTAGGTCATCTGTGAATTTCAAATCATCTAATTGATTTCAAGCTGTCCATTTTATTCTGTGCTTTTCATCAGATGCCGAGGTCTTCATAATCCAATCAACCACCAGAAGAAGGAGAAAGGGGGAGAGTAGACAGCCTTGTCTGACTCCGGTCCTTACTTGGAATGCCTCTGTCAACTGTCCTCCATGCACTACTTTGCACTGTAGTCCGTCGTATGAGTTCCGGATAATATTGACAATCTTCTCAGGAACTCCGTAGTGTCGAGGGGGTTTCCATAATGTTCTCCTATCTACACTGTCAAATGCCTTTTCATAATCAATGAAGTTGATGTATAGTGAAGAATTCCACTCAGTTGATTGTTCGACGATTATCCGTGGTGTCTCAATTCGGTCTCTGCTCGAACGATCCTTACCGAATTCATCCTGTTGATCTGGAAGTCGTGCGTAAACTCCTTTTTTCATCCGGTTCAGCAACACTCTGTTATCGACCTTCCCTGGTACTGACAGTATTGTGATGCCGCTGTAGTTCTCACAGTTGCTAAGATCTTCTTTCTTTGGCATCTTGATGAATTATCCCTCCTTCCAGTCGGTTGGCACTTGTTCCTCCTCCCAAATCTTCCCGAACTGAACGTGAAGTATACTTGCAGTTATTTTCATGTCTGACTTCAGAGCTTCAGCTGATATATTTTTGGGTCCTTCTCCTGCTCTCTCACTCTTGATTTGTCTGATGGCCATGCTGATTTCCTTGATCGTTAGCGGAGTGACATTTGTAGGAAGGTCTGTAGGGGATGCCCCGATGTTCGGTGGATTTAATGAAGCAGGCCTATTCAGGAGTTCCTCGAGGTTTCTCACATATCTGTTCCTCTGTTCTTGAACCTTGTTGATAAACCTATCTTTGTGATTAACTGGTCTATCTGGTTTATTATATTTCCCTGCTAGTTTCTTTGTTGTCATGTAGTTGTTTGATATTTCCTTCTTTTAAAGCCTTTTCCGCCGTCGCTGCCAGCTGTTTCACGTATTTCTGCTTGTCATCTCTAATGCTGCTCTTCACGTGCTTGTTTGCTTCAGTGTATCCAGCTTTTACCTTGCCTTTCTGTGCTCTTGTTCAGCTGACGTTAATTGCTGTCTTCTTGTTCTTCCTTTCTTGAATTCTGTCCAGATTCTCGCTAGGAAAACATTCCTTCTGATGATGCTCCTTGCGTTCTAGCACATCATGGCACATTCAAGTTAGAGCTTCTTAGACCCCTTTTCAGGTGTCCTTTATGGTAGTATCTCCTTCTAATTGGTTCAAATGGTTGTGGACGGAATAGAAGAAGCTTTCGCTTAACAGGCTTCCGTGTCTAGTAGCAGGGGATCACCAATACCTCCAGACAGGAAACTAAGCATAATATCGATAAAAGAGGAAAAAGAAACTGGTAAATCATGGTAAGATACTATCTTTAGTCCTTAAGAATAGATCGAGTCACCTCTTAAAGGACTCCTGGGAAGTTGCTTGGACTAGATCAGCTGGCAGCGGATTCCAGCATTTGACAACTCTTAAGGAGTAAGCGTTGCCCCACTAGAACATTCTGTAACCTGAGATAAAGTGAAGTTAACCCTGACCTTCAAATGTCGAGTTTTTAGATAATAAGTGATCCAATCAATTAGAGGTGATTCGATGCATAATAGTTTGAGCTTATTGTTAACAGATTTATGGTTAATCATAAATAGTCGTGTATACCGCCGCATATCAGGGACTCCATAATTCTTGGAGGCATAGAGAGAACAGCCACCGCTCGGTAGATGGAAGGTTCGCTACGTCGAACTCCTTCAAAGATTAGTGTGATATGAGCCAGCTTCCAAATTTCCGGTAGCTTGCTTTGGCTTAGCGAGTGTGAGAACATCACGTTAAGCGGCGTCGCCAGGATTGAAGCTTCTTACATCAGTATAGCAGAATGAACCATATTCGGACCATGAGGAGTGTCTGTTTTTAGGTGTTTCAGTTTCCGGTACACCATGTCAGCGCTCAGGTTCACTTAGAAATACCCTGTGAAGTTGCAGACGAATAATCCTAGATCCCCGAGGTTGAAGAACCAAGATTCAGTTGGCTTTTCACCTCCAATATAGACGTGTTCTGCGAAGTGCCCGAAATTACTAATGTGACTGAATATGGGAGAACAGTTCCACAAGAGTGTTTGGATATGACGAAGATGTCTGATCAACTTCTGATATCATTGTGGTAACATATTCGGCTTCAATCTGGAATGTATACAGGGCCATTTGTTTTCAAAAGTCACTTAATATCATAAATCATTTACCGGCATTGTTCATATTCAGTCTGGAACTTGTAGTAAAGTTCTGTTGAAAAATAATGCTCAGTTTCAGTTTGGAAAAAACAGGAGGCTTTATGGCCAGTCCACAGTAACATAAATCTATCCCACGTTTTTCTCCTCTCACGGAGAAGGATGCGGACCTCCTGCTGAACCATTGATATAGTCCAAGGGATGTGGGGTGCGGTAACTTCTAAGTATAAATTTCGGAATGCGTCCCAAGCCGTTTCAATTGAGGACTCTGGGTCTATTGTTCAATCTACTAACGATGCTGAGTGCATGATATCTGGTATGTTTGCTTTCCAGACGTTAGGTCTGGATTAAGCTGACGTGTGTTTGTGATTGACAGTTATATGGAAGTCAAAAGTTAAAACTGCGTGATCACTTTTACCTAGGGGTGGAATGTAATCGAGGTTCTCAACTTCATCTTTATAATGAGTCAACATAAGATCTAGTAAGGATGATTCAGTGTCCGGGTCGTACCCAGTCGCTTCTTTCACATGTTGCACTAGGGCACATGTTATAACCGCATCAACAAGTTCCTGCTCGAAGGAATTATCTGATGATTCAGTTCGCAGGCTTCTCCAGTCTGCCATAAGTGCATTAAAGTCCCCTAGGATTAAACATTGACCACTTTGTGACAAAGTATTGAGCCTGTTTAGCAGGACATCATCTGCCTCACAGCTTGGACAGCGATAGACCAAACCAATCAGCAGCTCTTGTTCCTTGCATTTCAAGCGACAACTAGCCAATTCGCACGTCCCATTTTCATGGAATACACTGTCAATAATGACAAATGGGATAGCATTCCTAATGAATAGAGCTACTCCTCCTCCTTTGCGCTTTTGTATTCTGTCGGCCCTTACCAAAGTAAAACCCTCAAAATGGAGTTCCATACTATCTATAGACTGTGTCAGCCAGGTTTCTGTGATTGAGATTATGTGTGGCTCTGTAGAGTCAATCTGTTCACCTAGTTCCGATCGCTTATTGAACAAGTTTCGGGAATTAGTGTAACAGATCCGAAGCCTGTTCAAGTGGCTTCATGCTTCATCCAGAGTGGCTTCGGTATCATTCTCTGTCGAAGCCTCACAACCCAAAAATTTACAATTTTTAGGTCGTTTTCGCCAGTGTCTAACCTAATTTGTAGTTCTTTTTCGGCTTCCCGTCTTTTTACACGGTCTGCCAACGGCAATTCCTTACGGATAAAAACTCTCGAACCCTTCAATTTATGCCCACTCTATAAAATTAAGTCCCATTCATTCAAAGATTCGAATACTACTTTAAGCAGTCTGGATTGATTAGGCTTTAAGTTCGCTAGACTACCTGATCTATACAACTTTAGCAAGGTGATTCCGGAGATATTTTGAGGCATGAGTTGATAAGTAGCTGTTTTATCAGAAGTTTTTGGTTCTGAGCTTTTGCTCTCCTTGATTCTATGAAAAATAGCTGATCTGTCACTGTGATCAGCCTTCGATTTCTCGACTTCATCTATGGGGGCAGGGTTCCCTCTTATATCATTATTTTGTTTCTTCCTTACAAACTGTACCCATTCCTTAACGTTGCTTGAAGAAGCATCCACAGTCGCGTCACACATACTGCAGGATTCCGAAGGGTTGTCGACGACTTGAGAGGTCAGGTTATGTGTTCCACTAGAAACCGATCGAGCCTTGCGATTGCAGCCTCGATGTGTTTCTTTCTGGACACCATTTAGAAGACGTGGGACAGAAGAAACTTCTTTTCTTGAGTTTTTAGTTAGGACAGACCTCTTTGAAAACTGTCCTCCCTCTTTTGTTCGGTGCGAGTCAGGTGTTTTCGAACTCACCTGAGTTTGCTTCACGCCAATTCGCGTGTCGACATAGCGAGTACTTGTTGATGTGTCCCGACCACGCTTGCCAAAACACTTTTTTTCAGCATTTACCAATGAGATGGCCTCGGTTAGCAAGCTGTCAGCATACGAACAGCGCTGTTGACAAGGCTATACGCAACCATTTTTTACTAAACCGTTTGAAAGCCGCAGGCGGTAAATTTGTGCAAACATCGTGGTACCAGCCTTTGCACTCATCGCACTGCATGCCGCTTTCAACAGGGTAACGACAGCCTGGACGTTGACAATTGTTTTTTTTTGTACTGTCTAGTTATTTAAACACGGGTCATTTTTTAAAAAAACAACTAGGTGCAAAAAGACTCGGATACAAAAATGATCTATGACCAAAAGACGTGGAAAACTATAGATTGTTAGAACTACGACTACTAACAGATACACTAAAAAAACAGAGTACTCAGAAGCACCGACGAAAAACTATTTTGGAAACAAAAACGATACTTTAACTGAAAGAAATTCAATTAAAGTGAAAACAGAAGTTTCGATAAGTAATAAACGATCAAAACAATAGAATTTACTCAGCAAGGAAAAATACCACTGTCCTTTTTGAATAACACGTCTAAATCCCCCATATAAATAGGCTGATAGACTTTTGTGTAAACAATGAATGATGTAAGTTTCGAGTGATTAACATAATGTTAGTAAGAACGTTCGCAATAGTGTTTAACTGTTCCAGTAAGATGACGTAGGTTGAAAGCGGTAATTCCAGAATTGCCGACCTTGGCATCATATCGACTTGTTATTCGTCTTAAATGCATGGAACTTTGTGTTCTCATTTAATCCCAAACTGACGGGAAAACTATATTCAAAGGGGTTAATCATCTTGGTACAACCCTTTTTTGATTGTCTTGAGAGCAAGTTCACAGTTAGTAGACTGTTTGGTGCTAGTAACTAGTTGGTCGTATTCACGAGTTAACTACCAGTTAAACTAGTTTACATAGGTTCCTGAAATAGACTAGGTTTATTAAATATGTCCTGCAGTGTTCTCTGTTATTTTTCGTTTTTTGTATTTCTTGAATTACTCTAAAAGCTGTCACTCACCCGTGATCATAGTTCCCCTTGGATTTATTTTGATATGTTGCTTTTCCCTTATCTACGCTTTTGATTTAACATCAACCGTTCATAAATTATTTTGTGCCCCAAGTGTGTAATTGTGTTATCCTTTTGGTGTTTTTTAACCTAGTTTTTATATGTTTAACTGTAATTTATTCATTCATCGTATGAAACAGTTACACATCGCTTTACGAATCAACCTTCAATAATTTTTCCGTCTTCAATAAATTCATGTTCACCAGTCGTTCTACCTTAATAAATGTTATACATTCATCGCACTAATTGATCTTGGTCACAACTTTCTCTGTGCTAAACTTGTTTTAGATGGATGTGGCCAAGCTTTTGCACATCAACAATGAAAAACAGGCTATCCTTTTGCAACTGTCTGTGGTGTGTGTCGCTGCTATTTTAGGTAGGTTGTTGTTGGTTTCCGATTATGATCAAGCTTTTGCCGTTAGACTGTACTCTGTTATTCGTTTCGAATCAGTTATTCATGAATTTGATCCTTATTTTAATTATCGGACTACACGTTTTATGACTGAAAAAGGATTTTACCAATTTCATGATTGGTTCGATGATATGGCATGGTATCCACTCGGAAGAATTATTGGAGGTACAATATATCCTGGTAAGTTTATTAGATACTCAAGATATATCATAGGTCTCATGATGACATCGTCTTTTATATACTCACTACTTCATGCTATGAATGTTACCATGGATATACGGAACATATGTGTATTTTTGGCACCTTTGTTTTCAAGGTGAGATTATACAATAATTTATCTTCATAGTTTTACAACTTTAGCAACCTTTTTACTGACAAGTGAGATTCAGGACACTAGTTCTGGCCTAATAGCTGCTGCTATGGTTGCAATTGTACCTGGTTACATTAGCCGATCAGTTGCAGGTTCTTATGATAACGAAGGAATCGCCATATTCTGCATGATATTTACATTCTATCTGTGGATTAAAGCTGTTAAAACCGGTTACTTGTTCTGGGCTTGCGCTTGCAGCTTAGCGTACTTTTACATGGTATGTTGATTATTCTCACGTTTACTGATTTTAGGTTTCTTCCTGGGGTGGATACGTTTTTTTAATAAACATCATACCTATTCATGTATTAATACTCATGCTTACTGGGAGATTTTCAAGTCGTGTTTATTCTGCCTACTCTACTGTAATTTCAGTTATTTAAACGAGCTTTTTTATAGGTCTACGTTCTAGGCACTATACTGTCAATGCAGATTAGTTTTGTTGGCTTCGCTCCTGTAATATCCAGTGAACATATAGGAGTAAGTTTTTCATTTTTGTTGCCACTTTAGTTTTAGGCTCTCGGAGTGTTTGGATTATGTCAACTTTTCTCATTTTATACGTACCTTCGTGGGACTTTATCCTCTGAACAACTGTCAATAGTTTTGCGTGTTTTTGGTTTATCATTGCTCGGTATAGCGTTGATTGGTGGTTCTGTGTTGTCCGCTACAGGTGAGCATTGATTTTTCTTCAACTTACTGTGTTGAAAACTTCATCTGTTCATATCTATTGCATACCTTTTTATAAATAAAAAACTAATTGCCGTTCACCAGTAATCAGAAATTAATTTATGGTGTACCAACTAGTTCTTCATGAGTTCCCAGGGTTTATGATGGTATATGTAAATGAACGTTTACATTAAAAACTAGGAATAACTGGTGTTTAGTTAGAAATCGTTCAGGTAAATATAACAACTAGAAATGGAACCCTAACATATTAATGGGATTCATTACAAAAGTCTATTGTCGTTGTGTAGCAATATTTATGTGTACTTTACGTCCAGTCGATGATTTTATGTGTATCATTCGCCATCAACGAATAGATTCATTTTTTGGAAAAATCACTCATGATATATTTAACTGGCTTGTGAGTAGACGATCAGGCAACTGTGTTCAAGTCTTAGCGTTGGCCAAACTCTTCACTACTCACACTCATCACACCAGTCCAGGTTGTCAGCTCATATAGACAATGTAATGGCATGAAAATGTCGACATTACGATAGGACCTCAAAAAGGCAAAGTTACAATTAACATACGAATTTCTAAGGCTTCAATAAAAAAATTCCGTCTTTTCTTTAGTTGAATATGATATAGTAAGCTTTTGTATGTTAGCTCAATGGTTAGAGGATTTGACCTTTAGGGATTAGGTCATCGCCCTGAATGTTGTTCAACTTGGTTCAGTGAAGCTTTTAATCTCATAAAAAAGCTTGTACCTGGTTTCATTACTAGGTTGTCTACAATCAGATTAAAATAATTGGTATTGTGTGAAGCTTACAGTATGAAAAGTGCATTCAGAGTTGATGTTATATGTTTAAAATTATGGTGGCAAACGGGAAAATTATCCATCAATAATCTCGACAATAAACAGAAAATGGTTGTAGTTCGGGTGATTTAATATTCTATTTTGACCATGACATGAGCTTATATATATATATATATATATATATATATATATATATATATATATATATATATATATATATATATAGGCCTACAAACTTATATTGTAGTTTTGTAAATATATATTTTTCCTAAAGTTAATGGCTAAGTCATTTATATAATCCAGGAAAAATATCACCTTGGACTGGACGATTCTATTCTTTATTGGACCCAACTTATGCCAAGAATCATATTCCAATTATTGCTTCTGTAGCTGAGCATCAGCCGACCGCTTGGAGTTGTTATTATTTCGATCTTCATTTCTTAACGGTAATGTTTCCTGGTAAGTTAAAAAACCTTCATTCGACATGCTAATAACAATTCTCTTTTGATTTTTAGTGGGTTTATACTATTGCTTCCGGAAATTGACAGATGCTAGTATCTTTGCAATAATATATGGCGTTACAAGCGTTTACTTTTCGGTTAGTTGCAATAATTATTTGTTATTAATAGGTATCATAATTATTGGTTTTTTGTTGCACTTGTTCCACTGGTATAAGGGTAGTGATATTACTTGATTGTTCGAACAATAGGGAATTAGGGTTCAAACTTGCGATCTATCGGTTAGGGTTAGGTAGTTTAACAACTATGAGGAACAGGTACCAAAAGACTGGAAAGAAGGACTTCTAGTCAAAATACCAAAGAAAGGCGATCTCAGTAACTGTGACAACTACAGGGGAATCACTCTTCTTTCAATACCAGGAAAAGTCTTCAACAGGGTATTGTTAAACAGGATGAAGGACTCCCTAGACGCACAACTTTGCGACCAACAGGCAGGATTCCGTAAGGATAGATCGTGCACAGACCAAATCGCAACTCTACGGATCATTGTGGAACAATCAATTGAATAGAATTCATCACTATATCAACTTCATTGACTACGAAAAAGCACTTGATAGCGTGGACAGAACAACCCTATGGAAGCTTCTTCGACACTACGGCGTGCCTCAGAAGATAGTCAATATCATACGGAATTCCTATGATGGATTAAACTGCAAAATCGTGCATGGAGGACAGTTGACAAAGTCGTTCGAAGTAGAGACCGGTGTCAGGCAAGGTTGCTTACTCTCACCCTTTCTCTTTCTCCTGGTGATCGACTGGATCATGAAGACATCAACATCTGAAGGGAAGCACGGGATACAGTGGACAGCTAGGATGCAATTGGATGATCTAAACTTCGCAGATGATCTGGCTCTTCTATCGCATACGCAACAACAAATGCAGGAGAAGACAACCAGTGTAGCTGCAGCCTCAGCAGCAGTAGGCCTCAATATACACAAAGGGAAAAGCAAGAATCTTCGATACAACACAGCATATAACAATCTAATCACAATTGACGGAGAAGATTTGGAAGACGTAAATACCTTTACATATTTGGGCAGTATCATCGATGAACACGGTGGATCTGATGCAGATGTGAAGGCACGGATTGGCAAAGCAAGAGCAGCATATTTACAACTGAAGAATATCTGGAACTCAAAACAATTAGCAACCAACACCAAAGTCAGAATTTTCAATACAAATGTCAGCACAGTCAGTTCTACTGTATGGGGCGGAAACCTGGAAAACCACGAAAACCATTATCCAGAGGATACAGGTGTTTATTAACAGTTGTCTACGCAAAATACTTCAGATTCGCTGGCCGGACAATATAAGCAACAACCTACTGTGGGAGAGAACAAATCAGATCCCAGTGGAGGAAGAAATCAGGAAGAAGCGCTGGAAGTGGATAGGACACACACTGAGGAAACCACCCAACTGCGTCACAAGACAAGCCCTCACGCGGAATCCTCGAGGTCGAAGGAGGAGAGGAAGACCAAAGAATACATTACGCCGAGAAATGGAGATAGATATGAGAAAAATGAACAAGAATTGGATGGAACTAGAACAGAAGGCCCAGGACAGAGTGGGTTGGAGAGTGCTGATCGGCAGTCTATGCTCCATTGGGAGTAACAGGCGTAAGTAAGTAAGTAAGTTTAACAACTAACCCACCGTTTTATCTATCATAACCATGTCTTTTGCTGAACTTTAACTGACTTACTATTATTTTTAGTGATCAATAGTGATTGATCGTTTGTCATTTCGTTGCAGTAACGACATGCGTAAATAAACTGTAAGCGAATTCGTGATTGTTTCTTGTAACTGGTTCATCAGCCACTATCTTGTGTTCTAAACCTATTAGTGATGATAACACTCATTTACCATGTGTATATTCATGTAGTTTGAGCCACACTTTATGTTAGGCTAAATGATACTCCAAGGCTACTCAAGCCTATGACTTAGTGGTTGAAAGTCAAACCCTTTAATTACTAAGCCACTGCTTCCCACTTAAGCCAACTTTCACTTATATGGCCAGTTAGTGGCATATACTTGTCCAATGATTATAATAAAATTATCTTTGACTATGGTCGCTTGTACAATATACTTCTTGAATTAAGCCGTGTATGTGTTAAACAAACCAGTTTGGTTACGCTCATGTTTAGCGTGACATATTGATTGAAAACATTTGATAAACTGTTTTTTTAAGTAAACGGAATATACCTATTAAGACAAAATAAGAAAGATTAGTTCGGTGAAGAGTTCTCTTTTCGGCGACTTCACTTTCAAAGCTGTACAATCGCGAATATATACTTGTTTTTCAAGATGATAAGAAAATTTGTTAAATATGGTAGCAGTGAGGTAAAGTAAACAAAAGCAATAAAACGTTTTTCATCAGGGAAACTAACGGTAGTTTTATTGTTAAGGGCTTGAATATTTATCATGAAGATAGGTAGGGAAATTATAATTGGGAAAGGATGGCTCAGTGTAATAAAATAAATTGTTGAAACTGAGATGAAACGTAATCGAGAGGACTATAGAGACAGAAATAAACTAGTTGGGGGTAAAAGGTAATATAGAGAATAGAAAAGGAAACAGATGGCTGTGAGGGAAGAAAAGTATGAAGAAAGAAAATTATAAGACATTAAGACCATGGTAGAAAAAGAGGTTGCACCAATTTCTCTTGAACACAATTCTGATTTTTCTAGATGAATAGTTATTGCTTCGACAGTGTTAAGAAGATGCAATATAACTGTCTGTGGAAGCCTTCTACTTACCTTTCAGATGACGTTAAACGCTGACTCCGCTTTGATTGAGTGCCCTGTCTTTATAAGGTGTTCGACTATTGAGCCGTTTCCGCTTCCTTTTATCCAAACCAAGTAACGTTCTTGAATTCTTTTGGATAACGTACGCATCGAATGATCTGTATACCTAGCTTCACATGCCGAGGTAAATTGATAAATAGTTGGAAGAAAGTTAAGGGATACCAAACCAACACGTGACATCAGTCATAGGAGTCACTAACTTCTAGTTTGAGCCATCTCTGTAGATGCAGACTACTTGGTTGGGGTCCGCGTGACTATCGTAACCAGTGATTGGAGACTGTGGGTGACATTGCTCAGAATCGATTACAATGGCGTAGGTGTATACACTCTTTGTCTTCCTTTAAACTATCAGTTTAAAATCGCTTCATATCTTTCTTTCTACGAACTAACTTTCTTCCTATACTATGTCCTTATATACAATCTTTCTTTTCTATATTACACCATTGAGTTGGTTGCTTCTCTAAATTTGGTGTTGATCTTGCTGTGTTAATGAGGTGTGGCAACTTGGACCAATGCATATATGTGCCTGGTCCTACGTTGTAGTTGACTGAATGACTGATAAATGCACATGAGATAATTTATCTTTAAGATTGCTGATGAACATTGATCGGCCGGAAAACACTATTCCCAAAGTTGTAGCAAAGAACGTTCTTTTTAGAGAACCGGGAATTCTCCTCTTTAGGACGTCTATAACTACCACCCTCAAAATCGATGTTCATGTTGATGTAAACTAGAATAGTGTTCAAGAGAAATTGGTACAAATTTTATTAATACGTATTTCAAGAAATTTAATGTACAACTATAGAAGATTTGAGATCAAAAAGCAATCTGAATTCACAATAGTAGCCAGGTTTTCGTCAGATTGTTATTTTGCTTGTGACTTATTAGACTGTGATTGTGTGATGCCATACAAAGTTTCATAGTGACAATAGTCGCTTTATTAAGAACTGTGTATAAATCCACCATCTCAAAATATCATTTCATTAATCGCAAATCATTACCTGTGGGGCGTTTTAATATTTTCTAGATGCCCTATCCAAAACAAAGTAGGTCGTTATTTTAGGGAATCGCCTCCAAGCTTATAACTTAGGGGTTTGGTCCACTAGCAGTGTTATAAGATCCAGTAACATAAGTAGGTTTTACTTTTTATTAACTCCTTTAGGATTCTAGAGTTCATTTATTTGGAATAATGGTTCTCCAAACCCTTAGGTGAACCCTCCGTACCCACCAATCCTGTTCAAACACTAAATACTAGACTAGCAGTAAGTAGGACTTTCCTGAGAAAGGCTGTCAATCCTCAGCCTTATGATAGGACTTTGACAAGGACAGTAAATTCTCTACATCTCTGATCGTTCTATGACACTTTATATGAAGCATTCTTATGATAATTCATTATGCCAAGACTTTCATATACTATAAATAGTATCCCATATTGCTTATTTGTAAGTATGATTTTCCTGTTAATAAATAACTATTGCATTCACTGTATGCTTTAACGAATTATAATAAATCATTCTTCCAATTTTATTAACCCTAACATTACTTAATAGGCCAATAAAAAAAATCTAGTTCCCTGAACTATAATTTATATATTATGATTGTTTTCAAATATATTCTCTAATTTTCTAGGGGGTTATGGTTCGGCTTATCTTAGTATTAGCACCAATAATGTGTATTTTGGGTGCAATTGGAATTTCTGGAATTTTGAAATCATTTTCAGTTAATCTTAATGTACCAGATAGTCAAAGTACGAAAACACCAAGTAAACTTACCGCAGCTAATGGATATCCATCTATCCCAAATAGTAATAAACTTTATAAAAATACAGTTCAAGACTCCACTTATCCGTTCAAAAATACAGTAAGTTAATATCTCTTTGTTTCTGGTTAAAACATGTTCTGATAATTAAATACTATCATTTACTGGGTCATATCCAAGGTCATTTAGTCTCGTTAAGGTAACCGTTATGAGTTGTAGTTTGAAGATTGTTTGGATTACTAAATTTGTACCCATTCTTAATATCCTTATAAATTTTAATTTCCATGTCATTCGTCCATTTTTATATGGTTTTCCATTATACTTGATGTTATTTCGTCTACTCCTTTTACCATGTAAATGTCCGCTCTGTATTAATGTGAAGTATCGCAACTCCAATTAAAACTTGCGCTAGATCCTGTTTTTTTGGTTATTGATGGAAAAGACAGCAGTTGTAAGTAACACCAGACAGCTTTTCAGACTAATAAAGGAAACGAATTAAGAAGTCAAGTGTAAGTGAGACGATCGATAAAATAGACGACGCTCTTATCTGCTCTCACCGAGACGTTTGGAACGATGAGCGTAAAACTTTAAAGAGCAGTTCAGCTGGCCTTCATCTACGACCATTTCAAAACAGCCTGAATGGAACATTAAAGTACGTCCTTCGTCTCTAATTGAAGTTCAAAAGGCTATAGCTAATCTGAAACGGGGAAGGGCAGCAGGTCCAGATGGATTGGCCCCAGAGGTCTTTAAGGATGGTGGACTAGTTTTAGCGAATAGGTTGACTAATATTTTAGCTAAAATCTGGGAGTTGGACGTAATCCCCTCTGACTGGTCACAATCACTTATCGTCCCAATATATAAGAAAGGGTCAAAATCATCCTGTGACAACCACAGAGGGATTAGTTTGACTAATATAGTATCCAAAATACTAGCCTCGATAATTATCGGGCGCCTAACTAAGACTCGTGAACTTCAAACACAAGAAAATCAGACTGGCTTCAGACCTGGTCGTGGCTTCATCAACCACATATTCACCATTCGTCAGTTTTTAGAGCACAGGCATGCTTATCGGCATCCGACAATGACAGTTTTTCTTGACTTGAAAGCAGCATTTGACTCTGTAGACTGAGAGTTTCTGTGGTAGTGTTTGTCATTGAAAGGTGTACCTCAGAAGTACATAAACCTTGTGAAAGCTCTTTACTCGAACACTACCAGTCGAGTATACTGCGCGGTAGTTCGTCCTGTTCTACTTTACGGCTGCGAAACATGGCCATTAATGGTTGAAGTTACTAGTATTTGATCACAGATCTCTTAGAAATATTGCTCGCATCTGCAGGGATCACCGGGTAAGTAATATTGAAGTTGGACAAAGGGTATCAGGGAATGATGACAAATTAGTTGATAAAGTTATAAATCTTCATTGACTGAAAAGGTTGGGTTACTTGTTATGTATATCTGAACACCGATTACCACAACGCGCAGTGCTGAATAGTGTAGGGGATGATTGGAAGAAAGTTAGGGGTGGTCAAACTAAAACGTGGCACCAATCCATGAAGTCACTAACTTCTAGTCTGAGCCATGTTGGTAGATACTACTAGACTGCTTAGTTGGGGTCCGCGCGACCATTGTACCCAATGGTTGGAGATTGTGTGTGACATGGCTCAGAATCGATCACAATGGCGTAGGTGTTTATACTCTTTGTCCTCCCTTAAACCGTGAGATTAAAATTGCTTTATACCTTTCCTTCTGTTAACCAAATTTTTTCTCTTTGTATTATATCTTTATATGTGTTATGATTTTATGTCCGCTTACGATCACGTGACTTATACACCAATCAGAATACGGCTTATACGAATATTCGCACTATGACAAGACCAATGACGTTCAACCGGTCTGAGCAGTCTAGCGTCCTATTGGGTCCTACGTCCTTCTAATCCGTCCTCTTGAGTTCAGCACACAAAAGCAGCTTCTGAATCAACCAAAATCGAACCAAATCATTTATTTCAGACATACTCGGTTTATATATCAATCAGGCAGACCACAACGTACCATAAAATAGAAAATAACATATATATACACAAATAGGCCAAAAAGTGGCTGTGAATGTGGGAGACAGTGATTAATAGACTGAGAATAATTTAGGGACAGTAAATCGTACAGTGATAAATTATAGATCAAAGTGAAGCTTATGATAAGGGGAATATAAATATACATAATCTAACTATTAAATAATTACACCGTAAGAATATATAGATAATATTAGTCAATTAATGTCTCAGAAATTACTCGTGATTTAATCTTCGCTCGGATATAACAATATGCAATCTTTTTTATGTATTACTATAATTGAAGTGACTATTATGAACTTAGTGTTCATCTTGTTGTGCTAACGCGGTATGTCAATTTGGACCGATGTATGTATGTGCTTGGTCCTACTTTGTAGTTGACTGACTGGTTACTGATACAGTGTAGTACAGTTACGTATATCTTAAACGATCACCAAGGCGTAACTTTCAATTAATAGAATAGCAACGGTTGCAGATAACCCTTGGTAATAAGTGGCACACTCTTGTTCGGGTGATGTGTTGTAGGTCCAATTCATTTTCTTTGATGATGCAACAGCGTAAAGAGGAACAGACACTTGGTCCGTGTACTCAGCCCGTTATTACATTAACAGTCGTATTCTCTAGTCCAGCTATTGATTAGTTCCCTTATAGTACCTGTAAGACCGATGATCTTTTTGCCAAATAACGTAACGGCCAAGGAAAAACAACCAATGCCTTAATGCTGATTAATCATCGAGCTGCTCTTAACCCAGTATCCAATCAGAAGACTAATGTAGAAAGATTAATTCTCTAGTGTACTCTATTCAGTTATGACTCAACTCATAAAATAATATACCTGAAATGCGTGACCGCATGGAATCACAATTAGAAAACTACAGTGAGTACATCACTTAGTTACAAGTGATATCCCAAATCGATTGCAGTGAGCACCTTGAATCTGTTATTCTTCGACTATGTAACCTATTTAAAGTACACAAAAAGGACGTCTCTCTAAGCCTCATAGTCAATGTGAATAACTTTCCAAATCATGCTACGGTATACTGACTAACCTAAATTCTACAACCAGTCAAAAGTTATCTCAATAGGAAGATCTCTGTCGATTCATTTGATTTTACTGATTAGATATCCAATATCAGTGTAACCTAGATGAATGTGGTTTATTAGGTTTTACCTCTTTCTCTGTCTCTGAAAATATTTCTCTCACGAGAAAATCTGCCTTGAAACAATCTACGTTGAAAACATCAACCTAAGTTTCAGTAGCCACCAAATGCCCTGGTATGGCCGAGAGTGGGATGGGCCCGCCCTCCCTCTCGAAATACTTTCACACGACCACACGTATACAGCCTCTTCCAAGGAAGTCCTACTCACTGCCTTCTCGTGGCGGCGGTGTTGTTTACGAAAATGAGAGGACGAAAAATGAATGCCCGGCGCTATAACTGGATCCCAAACTAATGGTGCACATGGGCTCCAGTATCCTGATGGAACAAATGGCGTATGAACCAATTTTCGGTCACCGGCTACCATGAAACTGCATATCCTCACGATGCTATACTGCCTTTTGGGTTCGACCTTTAGGTCGAAGGCTCAGGGTGTGGCACCCTAAGAAAACCACCTGCTTCTGTCTGGGGACCGGGGCAGTATCACAGCCCACACACAAATAAAATGAAAATTTGTGTGGCGCAATTATATTTGACGCCCTCTTGTACCAATATTTATGTGTTCAAATAAAATAAATCTCAGTACCTCAAAACACTATCCGAATCAGTTATTTTTTTGCTACACTTTTAATGTCCAGTTTACATTTAATAATGATTTTTACTGACAAACAGACGGATTAGAAAGAGGATCATTGTTCGATCTACTTTTAGCTGATTGTTTGACAGTCGATCTTAAAAACTCGGCTTAGATCCACCATCGATAGTTTCCATCTTTACAAAATATTTAAATGATACTTTCAATATTTGTAACGAACATATCGATTCAATAACAATGACATAATGGATATCTTTGATCCTTTAAAAAAAAGAATGTTTATATAATGTAATGATAATTTGTCATTTTGTAGTTTATTTGTGTTATAGAATTTTCTTTTTCTAATAATGTAAATCAGCATATCTTTTGTGCTTTTTTCTCAATCCTTACAGGTAGCTTCATTTATGGTTCTGCTTATATTATTTCTGTTAATACTATTCACTAGGCATTGTATATGGGTTATATCGTCGTCATATTCTCATCCATCAATTGTGTTAGAAACTGTAGATAGTTTTGGGAATCGTCATATATTAGATGATTATAGAGAAGCATATTATTGGCTTAGAGAGAATACAAAGGCTGTAAGTTGTTTAATAGAAATTGTTTTCGTATTTCTCTTGTTTTTTTTAAAAAAAAAATTAAATCCTCCTATGACTTTATTGGTACTATTAGGTATGACGACATGAAGAGGATGGATTGAGTTTGTTCTCTATTGTTCCATCCTTTTTAACAGTTTGCCGAAGTGTCTTCATTTCGTTGAATGACATATTTTTGCTAATTACTTTTATCGCTTAGGATGCTAAAGTTATGTCTTGGTGGGATTATGGCTATCAGATTACTGCTATAGCTAATCGAACTGTGCTTGTGGACAATAATACATGGAATAATACTCATATTGGTCGTGTTGGTCAAGCTATGGCATCATCTGAAGAGGAAGCTTATGAAATTATGAAAGAATTAGATGTTGACTATGTACTGGTTATTTTCGGTGGTGTACTGGGGTACAGTTCTGATGGTAAGTAGTTTAAACAATAATTTTTGTAAACATTCATACAAGCTTTACTTAAAAGTATAATTCATCCAAGGTTATTGTATCAAGTCATCTAGAAATTTGCTTTTTGAACAAGGCTTCTGCCATATAAAGTAAACTCAGGTGTAGACCTTTGAGAATGTTTGATTAAACGTTACCAAATAAAGAGACATAGTTTAATTATCCCAAATCTACATGCTGCTGAAAAATATTGGTCTACATTCCACTTTTTCCAGTTAGATCAACAGTATGTTCTTGGGTGAAACGTAAAAGGTTTAAATGATTGATGTGCCATATAAAACTCAACAGGAACAGGTTAAGTAAGGTATATCCATTGTATTGGTCTGACGTAACAACTTATCTTACATGGATCATAGATCCTCTCACACAAACAAATATAAACGATAATCATTTTTATTGTACCATCTAGAATTGAATACTTTGAATTTAGAAATTGAGTACCTTAACTAAACTATTTTCAGTCAATCAATTAGTCTCGAGTGTTGTTAATAGTACAAAGGTGGTCATCTTCTCACAGTTGCTCACACTATCTATGAAAAGATATTTCTTGTTACGTTCTACCAGTGTTTACTTGTAAAAATGGTAATACTATATATGAATGTATATTAATAATTCTAGTCAGGTACCTTCACTTATTGGTTCGTGTTCATAGTTTATATAGTATGTGTCAAACATAGTGAGGACACTAAAAATTATCATTTAAGAGAGATTATCAAACAATATACTTTTATTGAATTTATCACACTTTGTACATATTTAAAGACCATTTATTGTCGTTTACAAAAACGTGCATTTGACTATATTCTTTCATAATTAGATATCAATAAATTTATCTGGATGGTACGTATAGCTGGTAGTACAGAAAAAGGTCGTCATGTACATGAGAATGATTATTATTCACCTCAAGGTGAAATGCGTGTAGATGATACAGCTAGTCCTACAATGCAAAACTGTTTACTGTACAAACTTAGTTATTATCGATTCTGGGAAATGAAAACTGATAAAAGTAAGTTATTTTACATGATTTAACTTTTATCCTATTATGTTATAACACCCGATTTTCCACATTTACCATGTGTGTTTTGCGCACTAGAATCGTTGGCTGTGGTGACACTTGAGGAGGAAGCCGAAAGAGGGAGTTTAGATTTGAAAGTCGATGTAAGAGGAATAATAGGAATTGAAGGGGTAGGTTGATTATGAATACAGTGGTCTTGAGTGCTGTTAGAGGTATGAGGGCGGTTATCACTTCCCGGTTGCCCACACCGTGGAAGGGTTCTGCTGGAGGTACCTGAAAAGGAAATTGGATTAGAGGTGGTATTAGTGACCTAAGAGCGTGACCGCAGTGCCCAAGGGACAGTTGCTTGAGGTCGGTCACACACGACCTTTTTATAAGTAGTTTTTGTGCTAGCTCCGTACTTGTTGAGACCTTACCGCCGGAGACGGATATCCGTGGGATAAGGCGAGATGTGCGTTTTTAGGGTCGACCTTTTCTAACCCCTCCCCTCCTTTTGGGAAGGCAGCATCGCTTTTATGCTGGTTGTCTGAAGGAAACACCTTACTGCTGTCACACCTCTGTACAGTCAGCAGTACGACTTCGCCTTCGGATCTTGGTTTTGTTGCTTTTAGTCTTACCTCTCTTCAACCGACCTGTCTGGCATGGTAGGACCTTGAGGAACGGTTGTTCCAGCCAGTATAGCTCAGTTACTTCATCACGATAGGCAAGCCCGACCACCACGTCAAGGTAGTAACAACGGTATCATTATCATTCTCTCCCATACATCACCTAGTAATAACGTAAACTTATTTTTAAAAAATAAGTACTTTTGGAAAGACAAAAAGTGAAATAATCCAAAGATACAGAAGAAATGTTGCATCTTCATTATTACGACTGAAAGTGTTGTAAATAGATGGAGAGATAAATGAATAAAATAAAATAGATCAAATTGGGTTATACAGTGTAGCCAATTGATAGCCACTCAAAATACTGACTCATCACTAGACAGTAGAGTAGGTTGATTATTTTATTTATTTTAACATATAGATATTGGTACAAGGAGGGTACCAGATACATATGCGCCGCACAAATCCCATTTGTTTTGTGTGAGGGCTGTGATACTGCCCGCGTGCCCAAACCGAAGCAGGAGGTTGATTATCGAATGAACTGAAATTCTTGAACACATATAATTAGATATCATAAGTGATTTAAAAAAGGCTTTGTGAATAGCTCACTCCAGTTCATTAAGATTTAACTGTTTCGGTCTGTAAATACTGCTAGTATACATAACTTCGTGCTAGCGCTTCCAGAATGACCTATATGCAACTGCTGGCTGCAGCTTTTTGGGGATTATAACACGTTCAGCAAACAGAAGGCAGTTATCGATGATTTAATGATATTATCTGTGTTGATAAAGTGCTTAACCTACACAGAGCTGATCGTTGAGGACCACCCTTCTAGATAGAACTTTTTGTAGGATTGAGTCTCGAAGAGTTCCTTCTGTGACTTCATCTGATAACGCTAAAGTGTTTCAAATGGCATCTGCTACTACATTCCTTTTTTCTGAACCTACAGCTATGGAGGCAATGATCATGTCTTCCGGTTCAGGGTGTTGAACTCCAATCAATCGAGAGTGGGCGTCCACTTGACCAATAACTCGATATTAAAGTAATAGCTCAGAAGCACTGTCGCCCAGCTCTGTAGTCTGTTAGCCGTAAAGACAGGAATTCCTTTCTTAGAACCGAAAATTGCAATTTAAGTTTTGTGGTCTGACAGTAAACGTACGGTGTAGAGCATTTTACGGTATCTCTAAACAGTAGAAATGATTGCAAGGGCTTCAACCTTAATCTGGCTACAGTTTCGCTCGGCTGGGGTGAGTGGTTTGGCAACATTAGCAAACGTATTTTTTGATTTGTCTGAAAATGCGAGATGTCACTGCTCCAACTCCATCACTAGAGGCATCAGTTGCAACAACATTTCTTAAGCTGGGATTGAAGTGTGTTAAAGGAAACCTTAAGCTGAGCATTGATTTGACTTTGTAGATGCTTGACATTCTGCTGACCATTGCCAAGGTTTGTCTTTTGATAGTAATTCATTCAGGGGACCTCTCACTCGATGCACTTCAGGGAGAAATGTGCCTTAATGACTAATAATCCAATGAAGGAACATCAGTTGGTACAAGCATTTTCTATGTTGCCAAGGTCTGGTCGGCCGCTGTTATTATCCAAGGCTCTATACTGGAACACTATTTTTCAAGTTAACCTCGTTTTCTTTAGAACTACCCTCAGTCCCCGCTTTTATTTAGCTTTTCATAGACTTCTTTAGATATAACGCTTTCGTCGTGATCACACAGTGGCTGATTTCTCACCAGTTGACCTAGGTGTATTCACTTTTCATCTTTCATTAGATTTGGAGTTTCAAAGCTGCCTACACCTTATTATTTATTTATTTGAACACAGATATTGGTACAAGGAGGGTACCAGATACATATGCGCCGCACAAATCCCATTTGTTTTGTGTGAGGGCTGTGATACTGCCCAAACCGAAGCAGGTGGTTTTCTTAGGGGACCACACCCGGAGCCTTTGACCTAAAGGTCTGATCCACAAGCCAGTGGAGATTCAGTCCCATGGTAGCCGGTGACCAATAATTGGTTCATACGCCATTTATTCCCTCATGATACTGAAGCCCATGTACACCATTGATTTGGAATTAAGGTTTTCCAACTACCCTAGGTGGACTCTCCGTGTCCACCAACCCGGTTAAAGCGCCGGACATTCGCTTTTCGTTCTCTCAATTTCGTAAACTTACATGGCAGACGCTATATACACGTGGGCATGTGAGGGCATTTCGAGAGGGAGAGCGAACTCTCCGCACTCTCGGCCATACCAGGGCATTTGGGGGCCTACACCCTATCCCTTGAATTCGTTCCTTCTTCCCGAATTATATTCTCCATATCTATTCTTTTCGTCTACTACTACTGACACTTAACTCTTCTATTACTCTGGCATTAATCTCAGTATGCTAATGTGATGTGGCAACTTGGAACTATGACAGGTATTTTATTTTTATTTATTTATTTTAACACATAAGTATAGGTACAGGGAGGCACCAAATACATATGCGCCACACAAATCTCAATTGATTTGTGTGAGGGCTGTGATACTGCTCGGGTGCCCAAACCGAAGCAGGTGGTTTTCTTAGGGGGCCACACCCCGAGCCTTTGACCTGAACGTCTGACCCACAAGGCAGTGGAGCATCGTGAGGAGATGCAGTCCCATGGTAGCCGGTGACCAACGATTGGTTCATACGCCATTTGTTCCTTCAGGATATTGGAGCCCATGTGCACCATTGGTTTGGGGTCCGGTTAAAGCGCCAGACATTCGCTTTTCGTCCTCTCATTTTTGTAAACAACACCCCCGCCACGAGAAGGCAGTGAGTAGGACTTCCCTGGCAGAGGCTATATACGCATGGCCATGTGAGAGCATTTCGAGAGGGAGAGCGGACTCTCCCCACTCTCGGCCATACCAGGGCATTTGGGGGCTTATGACTTGACAGCATACCGAATACGTTAATTTTGAACTAAAATAAGTCAATAGTTTGATGAGATAGATTTTATTATTCATACGGTTTTATAAATAAGAATAAGTATATACACACAACAGAAAGATAAAGTTATCCAAACAGACCCTAAAGTCCAGTCACAAGTGACGTAAGCTCTGCGTTAGCTCAAGTTGTGATATAACGCCAGCTTGATAAGATAAAAATAGCAAGATTAATATCAAAGGAGGTTAGAACAAATCGTAATAGAAACAAAATGATGAGAAAATCTCAAACAATGAAAAAGGTCCTAAAGAAACTAAAGGGTGAATCCACTGTAGTGAGCTCTGAGCCATGTCACTTAGTGTGTAATCACTAACTACGACTATAACGCAGAGGAATAAATACATTGTTTCCATTATTTGTAATATTGAAGAATTGTGATTTCCTTCACTTTGTTACTATGTAAATCTATTCTTTAAACTTTTTTAAAGGTAAGCCACATGGATTTGATCGTGTACGTGGTCAAGTAATTGGGCATCGAAATTATGAATTGCATGGTTTAGAGGAAGCATTCACTTCTTCCAGTTGGCTTGTACGAATATTCCGGGTTAAATCATATGCAAATCGAGGAGTTAACTAATTTTTGTATTTTCTTTTTCAAAATATATGTTTATATATAAAGGATAATTAGCAGTGAATTTCTCTAAATTGTGAAATAATTATCGTTCGCTTCCTAACTATCTATCCCATATGTATTAAAAAAAGTCGTTTACGAAGTTTCGACGAAGGATATACCGTCAATTCCTTAGTTAGCACTGTACTCTGGAAATTTGTTGAATGCGAATGCGTTTGGAATATTTAGTCAAATATTATAGAGGTCTTGTGCAAAGACACATTAGGAAGAACAAGGAGGTACAGTCGTCCCTCTGCGATCAACGAGATCGACAGTAAAATAAGACAGGATAACCCTATGTCGCCGTTCTTTTCCACCTTTTTGTCTAGTGCTATTGCGACAAACCTGATAAGTTGGGACAGGCACAATTTCTGCATCAAGGCTTCCATTATTCTGATTTGAGATTGTTCAAACCTCTTTTCTTGACGCACCATATAAGCTTCTAGCTGCTCCAAAGAAATATTCATTGTAGTCATCTCCGTCGCCACTGATAAGTCTCGCGATTTTGAACGCTATCCTCGATTCCTAAGCTATTCTGAAACCCCCAAGCTAGAACTATACAGCGACCTGAACACGAGAGAGAAGGCACAAAGTATGCGAAAAGTACTTTACTCCAAGGTTCATTTTTGTACTGAAAAACATGGGTATTTATAGATGTTAACATTGGTTAAATCAACATATTTTGGCCAATCCGCTAAAAGACATTATGCTACTGACCAATAGTAGCACGCCACGTTGGCATTCTAGAAAGCTTCATCGTGCTCTGATTGGCTAAGACTCTTTGGCTCCTTCAGGGCCTCTGGAGGCTCTGTTGCAGTTCTCGGAAAGCCGACTTAACAAAACCCACTGCGGGATTACGTTCCCAAATACTTAGCTCTCAAGTACGCAAACATCTTGTTATGTGATTTAGTCTACTTAAACGAAACCCACTAAGTTGGTGAGGAACATCTAAATATGGCTTCTACTTTGCCCTATTTTAGTGGGGCCATACATTTAAACGTCAATTAGATTTGACGATGTTGTCGATAGGCTCACCACTTTTGTGGACCTTTATCTGACTCTAGTAATATCGTATGATTGATTGGTATCGAAATACACATGTCGGTCATCCTTGTATATAATTATCGACTTTAAATCGCGTCTATCAAATACGAGAATCAAATTCGAATGCGTATATTTCATATAATCGTTGATCCAGACAAAAAAATCGGAGAAGCGAAATAACGCACAGTGGAGGCGTGTGAGCTAACTCCATTTAGCTTTAACCAATACTTATAGTCACACAAAAATAATTGATTTTTATCGAAATATACATCCTGGTATATAATCGACTTAAATCGCGTTGGTGAATAACAGAAATAAGTCAAATACCAGAATGGATTTCCGAATACATATTTTGTACACTCACTGATCTGAACAGACAAACAGATGAACGAAGCGAAGAGAGTGAAGCGAAATGACGCACAATGGAGAAGCCATGTAGTCCAACTCTAATCAATATTTACAGCCAGATAAAAATAAGTTAGAGACGTGTGATGAATAGGATAAGAAGTGTACACACACATACGCTCCTATAAAAAGTCAAGGTTGATAAGTGAGTAATTAACAAGGTCAAAACGTGACTCAAGAAGAATGGATAAATTGGCTTGTTCAGAAGCTAGAACAAGTTACATGAGATTAACGTAGTAACCGATACCGTATTGTTGATAGTCTGTACCTGCAGTCGCTATGATGGATAACAATTCTGAGCCCTAGCAATGTTTAAGCATCGAACAAATGACAATTGTTTTCTCATTGATCACGCCGGTAGGAGAGGGGGTCAGTTAGAACCACAACCTTACAAATTAGTATCTATTGACGAGGTCTTGTATATTACGTAACACAATAGCTTCATGTGTTGTTGGATAATTTAGTAAGGGAGTTATTAATGATCTTATTGTAACACTGTAATTTGAAACAGTTGAATATCCTTATTAACTAGGAGAAGTTTATTAGGGTTATGTTTTAATTTAGCCTACATTCGACTATATATTTACTCGTTTATTCCCAAAATATATCATCTCGCTTCTTATGATTCAGTTTTGATCCCCTATCATACTAATCATGGCCTGTATTACAAAAAAAAGAAAAAAAAATACCAAAAGTGTAAGGTATACTCGGATTATGAATATTATACAATTGTTGGATTAATTTACTAGCACATACAAAGCTTCTCAAAAACAAAAAAAAAAAGAAGGAAGGAAGAAAATTGGCTAGAATAATGCAACAAAGATGTTGAAAGAAAAAAAAAACAAAAACAAAATCGTTAATTTAACTGTAAAATAGTGTATTTTTTATGTGATTGAACAACTTGACATAAAAAATAAACATTTCCCATTTTGTTTAGTTAAACAAGAAAAACCACCTTTATTCTTTAATTATGAAAGTAGTCTACATTTACAAGAGGAAAATAAGTAGATAAAATTAATAGAAACAATTTAGAAAACTGACCTTTCAATGAAAGTAGAACGAAGGTCATATATATAATGTGTAGCTTTGTAAGTTACTATGAACGTATTTTAATCGGTTTACGTCGTTTTAATTCTTTTTGTTGTGTATTTTGATCAGTTTCCGTTTGATCACTAGTGTCTTCATCTTCTCGTTTAACTTGAACAATATAAAGAATATAGAATTCATTAAAAATAAAATAAATTATATTACAAAATATAAACATACGAAAACAATTTAGTATTGAAATCCAACTTATTCTTATATATGTCATAGCCACTTACCTGGATACATACATGAATAAATCAAGAGAATATTAGTAAATATCATAGTCGTCATTTATACTGGAAGTTACACATAGCAATTACGAAACTATTCAAAAAAAAACTTGTGCTCAAACTAACAAAACGATCAGATTCATTTCAACATATCTAATTCAATCGTAGTTTATTCAAAGAGAAAAATAAACTCAATGGTTAAGATCATGAGTCAGTTGAAGCTAGACTATCATGGAAAACCTGGAAGCATTGGACGGCCGTTTCGTCCTATCATGGGACTCCTCAGCTGTACGCATCCACGACCTCGCCCCCTGTGAGATTTGAACTCAGGACCTACTGGCTTCGCGCGCGAGCACTTAACAACTAGTGCTGAGAAGTCCCATAATAGGACGAAACGGCCTTTCAGTGCTTTCAGGTTTTTCATGGTGGTCTAGCTTCAACTGACTTATGATCTTAACCATTGAAATTACTACAATCTCCACAAAACCATTTCTGATAAGAAAAGTAAACATTTCGGTTCTATATTTTAACGTATTCTATAATTTAAACTCAATGATCCAACGCTATAGTATAATGGAATATAATCGTAATTCAATTATACATGTGTATTATAGAAGTGAAGTGTTCGAATTTCTCCACATATGCGTTTCACAGCTTGTTCTGTACACCTCGATGTTGATTGGTTCTTGTTGACCTTGAACCTGTTATTGTTTAATCGTTTAAAGATTCCCGTCATTATTAAAAGACTAATATTTGAACGAAGAATATTCTCTTTTTCGATAAATTCTCTTCAGGTTCTACAATTCATAGATCCAAATTAATAAACCGGAAAATGGTCAGGTTAAGGGTAAAGTACATCGTTTAAAGCATGTGAATTTCGGATTGTGATAAACAAAATACAATAAAATTACTCATGTTGATATGACTCATATAGAATGTTAACTTGAATCTGTGTATATGTTAAGTGAAATTGTTAAGATCCATGACCGATAGGTCCTGGGTTCGAATCTCGCGAGGAGCGGGATCGTGGATGCGCACTGCTGAGGAGTCCCATACTAGGACGAAACGGCCGTCCAGTGCTTCCAGGTTTTCCATGGTGGTCTAGCTTCAATGGATTCATGATTTCAACCAGTGAAATAGAGCAATTACCATTCGATCAAATAAGCAAGACGTAATAAAGAGGGAAGAATGCAAAGTGAATGAATCATGTATAGGGGAGATTAATAATGATGTTTAACCAATAGTATGAATAATAATAATAATAATAATAATAATAATAATAATAATAATAATAATAATAATAATACAACGATTTATGAATAAATATAACTGAGAAAATTACAATTGACTACGAAAGGTCATAGTCAAATTACGTCATTCAATAGTTAAGATTATGATTGATTAATTGGCCTTGGTGTTGGCCAAGGGAGGAGGAGTGGTTGAATATATTTCCTGTGTACGCATAACTCCGGTTTCTTCATCCGGATGGCTACTGCTTCAGATGTTTGAAGGACTTTCAGTCTGACCAGTTTGGGCAAAAAATTACTGACTTTATAAATAATTAAAAAGATTGGTTTATACTGGCAATATGACCAGTTTGTACTAAATGGGTTAGTATTGAACTGTTCACTTTCTTCATCAAACCATTGTTAAGCCACGCTGGAAGGTGTTCACGGGGACGAAAATGTACATTCCTAGAACTTCGATCAATATAACTCGCTCCACAAAAGCAGTCCAACTGATAAATGCTAAATGAGGTGGTCATTCTAGGTAATTCATCTTTTAGTCTCGGTATAACCATTGGGCGCGTAGAAAACACTAATCGCATTTCTCTGGCATTAAAAGATTTTTGTATTGTCCTACGTAGTCTCTGAGTTAATATTTCACTCGCCGCATCCCCTCTGATTTGTAGACGCATGAACAGGGATTTCTTCACTGTTTGTATTTCGCCTATTTTCACCTTCATGATCATATATTTAGTTATAAACTTTGTAGGGTATCCGTTCTCCCTGAGAGTATTATGCAAGCTGTTAAGCTCTTGTTTAACTATATCAGCAGAACATATAGCGCGTATAAGATAACTAAGGGTTTTGATCAAGTTTCGTTTGTGCTGTACAAAGCTCAGAAAATGCGTATACTGTCCAGTCCATGTACTTTTTCTGTTTAAGTTCCTTTTCAACGACCCATCCGCTCTCTTAGTCAAGAGAACGTCCAGAAAAGCTATTCGGCCATCACTCTCTTCTGATGTAAACTGAATGGCTGGATGCACTTCATTGAATCGCCTAAGAACCTCTTGTGGTGAAGTATTATCTTTACAGAGGATGAACGTGTCATCCATGTATCTACAGTAAAATGTGAAGTTTTGAATAATCGTTTTTAGTGGACCATTTTCTAGTTTTGCTAGAAAAATATCGGCTAGTTTAGGGCCTAGTGGTGAACCCATTGCAACACCATCTGTTTGTCTATATATTTCACCGTTGAACTTAAAATTCACATTCATGGTGCATTTGAGTAATAATTCTTTCACGACATTAATGGGAACAGTAGCTTCGATTTCGTTTTCAATCAGCTGTTCGCCTATATATTCTACAGTCTCAATGAGTGGGACGTTTGTGAATAGCGATGTTACATCCAATGACATCATCTTTAGACCCAGCGTATACGCATTTTTGATTTTATCAACAAATTGGAACACATCCTTAACACTATATTTTACAAGCTTTTCGTGTAGCGCTTTCAATACAGTTACCAACCGTTTAGCTATAGTATGGTAAGGAGAGTTATACATATCTAGAATAGGTCTTAATGGGATCCCCGGTTTGTGTACCTTTGGCAATCCATACAACCTCGGCAGATAGGTTCCTACTGGTTTAATCATTTCATATAAACTCGATGAGATGGTCTGTTGGTCCCTGAGCTTCTCCAAAGATCTGCTAAGCTCATTCTCTATCTTATTATTCAAATCTTTCTGATCAGTTATTTTTTGAAACTTTAATTTGTCATTTAAGATTGTACTCATTTTTTCAATATAATCACTTTTATTAAGAACAACACCTGAACCTTTGTCAGGTTTTGTTATCAGTAACGTCTCATCCTTAAGAAGTAGGTTAATAGCTTCCTTGTGTTTCTTCGTAAGAATGCTTTTGTAATAATCCGAAAAATGGTCAGGTTAAGGGTAAAGTACATCGTTTAAAGCATGTGAATTTAGGATTGTGATAAACAAAATACAATAAAATTGCTCATGTTGATATCACTCGTATAGAATGTTAACTTGAATTTGCGTATATGTTTAGTGAGATTTTAAGAATAATATTATCCGACTTGCAATTTTTGTATTTTTTTAAAAAAAATTCCCCCCACCCCATTAAGAGTTTTTTTCCACCCCGAAATAACAATATTTTTCATCCCGTGTTTCGTCCAATGAAATGGCTAGTTTTAAAACTTCGATTTAATTGGTTAGTTATGTCTTGAAAATTGTTATAAACTATCAGTACTTGTAGACGAAGTACATTTTAATCGTCATTATGGACGACAGTAACGTGCCAAGTACAAGCGCTGGTGTTTCTCACGTCTTGGAAATAGAGGAAGCCTTTTTGAGATCAGGAAAGAAACTCATCCAGCTACTGAAAGGTCTGGAAAAGCAAACGGCTGAAAGCAAATTTCCAACGGACTCGAAAAGGTATGTACATAATTTATCAATCGTCGAACTAGATAAAGAAAAACTAGAGGTATTATCCTTAGGTTTAAAATTTTGTGATACTCGTAATAACTGTAACCACATCGATACAGATATACAATTCGAGAATCCTTATAGTCAGACGAGTGATTTGGTTGTGAATTCCGATCAGCAATTAGAACATTTAAAATCAACTCTTGTAGACTGCTGTTACCAATATAAGGACAATAAATTTAGTTACAATAGCATTCTTACGAAGAAACACAAGGAAGCTATTAACCTACTTCTTAAGGATGAGACGTTACTGATAACAAAACCTGACAAAGGTTCAGGTGTTGTTCTTAATAAAAGTGATTATATTGAAAAAATGAGTACAATCTTAAATGACAAATTAAAGTTTCAAAAAATAACTGATCAGAAAGATTTGAATAATAAGATAGAGAATGAGCTTAGCAGATCTTTGGAGAAGCTCAGGGACCAACAGACCATCTCATCGAGTTTATATGAAATGATTAAACCAGTAGGAACCTATCTGCCGAGGTTGTATGGATTGCCAAAGGTACACAAACCGGGGATCCCATTAAGACCTATTCTAGATATGTATAACTCTCCTTACCATACTATAGCTAAACGGTTGGTAACTGTATTGAAAGCGCTACACGAAAAGCTTGTAAAATATAGTGTTAAGGATGTGTTCCAATTTGTTGATAAAATCAAAAATGCGTATACGCTGGGTCTAAAGATGATGTCATTGGATGTAACATCGCTATTCACAAACGTCCCACTCATTGAGACTGTAGAATATATAGGCGAACAGCTGATTGAAAACGAAATCGAAGCTACTGTTCCCATTAATGTCGTGAAAGAATTATTACTCAAATGCACCATGAATGTGAATTTTAAGTTCAACGGTGAAATATATAGACAAACAGATGGTGTTGCAATGGGTTCACCACTAGGCCCTAAACTAGCCGATATTTTTCTAGCAAAACTAGAAAATGGTCCACTAAAAACGATTATTCAAAACTTCACATTTTACTGTAGATACATGGATGACACGTTCATCCTCTGTAAAGATAATACTTCACCACAAGAGGTTCTTAGGCGATTCAATGAAGTGCATCCAGCCATTCAGTTTACATCAGAAGAGAGTGATGGCCGAATAGCTTTTCTGGACGTTCTCTTGACTAAGAGAGCGGATGGGTCGTTGAAAAGGAACTTAAACAGAAAAAGTACATGGACTGGACAGTATACGCATTTTCTGAGCTTTGTACAGCACAAACGAAACTTGATCAAAACCCTTAGTTATCTTATACGCGCTATATGTTCTGCTGATATAGTTAAACAAGAGCTTAACAGCTTGCATAATACTCTCAGGGAGAACGGATACCCTACAAAGTTTATAACTAAATATATGATCATGAAGGTGAAAATAGGCGAAATACAAACAGTGAAGAAATCCCTGTTCATGCGTCTACAAATCAGAGGGGATGCGGCGAGTGAAATATTAACTCAGAGACTACGTAGGACAATACAAAAATCTTTTAATGCCAGAGAAATGCGATTAGTGTTTTCTACGCGCCCAATGGTTATACCGAGACTAAAAGATGAATTACCTAGAATGACCACCTCATTTTGCATTGTCATTGTTCACTTCTTTATTTTGGTTGCAACTCTCATTGGTTTGATTTTTGTTCCTATGTTTGTGCATAATTTCCCTAATTGTTTGATAAATTGAATCGGTTCCAATGTGCTTGTTTATTGCTGAATAACATGAGTGCCAAGCGTCTAAAAATTCTCTGGTGTTTCGGGAATTGCCTCTATCCAAAATCTCCAGTCGAATGTGAGTTCGCAGTTGTCCATGTGCGTTTATATAAGTGAGGACATGTCATGGCGGCTGGTCATTATTTTCAGATGTATAAATGAAGTAATCTGGAGACAGTGTGAGTGAACACTTCATAAATAGATTACGTGGTTTTATTTGTCATTGAGAAATGTTTCACAAAATGCTGGAACTTTTTCACGCCAAATTTGTAGAGTTTACTTCCTTTAAATTTGATTCCAATAGATGATATCCCATTAACTGGGTACTGAAACAGGTCAATTCTTCAAGTAGTACTATGAATTTACTCAAGAATATTCAAAAGCCAGAACATCAGTTGTTGGGAGAGTTTATTGTCAATAATTAATAAAGTCTCCAGGCATTCAAAAGGCAAGCACACTGGAAAGTAAGAGCTGAAAAATCCATATATATTTATGAGTGTGAAACGACTGTGGATAAATTATTGTCTGTGTCTACAACCGATGGTAGAATATGTGAAGATTGAAGTGCAGCTATGTGTTCAGTCAGAATAACACATACTTTACGTATTCGATTAATTGTCTAAATCACAGCAGGTACACAAATAATAAAAAAAGAACAATGGGCTTATTAGGAATTATCGCTCTTATTAACTTACACTTATGAACCACCGAATTTAGATCCTCACTAACAAACATAAAACCATGTTGAGTGTCATGTAATAAGACAAACTCAATGATTCCTGATCATAACACTTGTATAAAACTGAGAATAATGACAGTCACTTTATTGGGTAGAGGGAAATTTGCAACACTGATGACTGGGTGCGTAAACGTTAGTTTTATCAGCCAATGATCTATGTCAGTACATTACCTAAGAGCACTGACATTTTGTTAAGTGCGACACATTTGCGCTGATGAGGCTCTTAAATAAAAATCTCTTTTCGCCTTTGTTCTATAGCATTACAAGTATATTCACTTAAGTCCTTATAGTTGACTTTTCGTAGCGATACATGTTTTAATAACTCATGCCTAAACAAATTTCCTCAGTGTTTTGAAACGGTAGTCATAAGTGACTCTTAAAATCTTCCTAATCTTAAACAGAACATCTTACACTACGAAACTGCAGGTGCCTCTTTTTGATGAGTAACAACCAGCACAGCACTTAGTTCCGTGGTTTCTAACCAACTGCCTACAACCACCTAACATTTTAAACTACTGACGTACGTAAGATCTTGAAAGTAAATAATATTGTTACCTGTGTGATTACATCAAGCATCTGCCGCCTAGCCTAGTTAGGTCAGCTAGGGTGGACGTGACTATGTAGTTGTTGGAATAGAGAAATAAAGATATTCGAACACAAGGAAATTTGTCATACTGAACTGTTACAAAAAGTATGAATGTACCTTTTCTCTTCTCCTTTTTTCGCTGTCCAGAATCTTGACTAGTAAAGAACCAACTCTTAGAAGTATGTGATTGTTGTTTGTCTCTACGATGCCGTTGATGGAAAGTTATGAAATTCCATACCATTAAAGCTTGCGTAGTGAAGAAAAATAGCATTGCAGCAATTCTGTAATAATAAGTACATTTACACGAGTATTGAATGAAATGAAGTACACTTATGCAAACAAAATAAAACAAAGGATTCGGCAAAAATTGTATCAGATATATTGACTCTAGAAATCAGTTAAATGACATAGTTTGCTCTCCATAACTTTCGTTAAACATGCTCTAAGAATATTTAGAATAGTACACCAAAGTGATTTGACATGATTAAAATGTTACAACTACATCAATCGAAAAAAATCTAGTTTTATCCTCTTCACTTATCTTGGAACTCTGATCAGCCCTAATGGATTGGTGTCTGACGAAATCTCTGCACCGATTCAGAAAGCTCGTTTGAATTTTGCCAACTTACGTCATCTATGACGAAGGCGAGATATCCGTCTATCAATTAAAGGATGAGTATACTGTGCGGCAGTTCGTTCTGTTCTACTTCATGGCTGAGAAACGTGACCATTAATGGTTGAACATACTCATAAGTTACTAGTATTTGATCACAGATCTCTTAGAAATATTGCTCGCATCTGCAGGGATCACCGGGTAAGCAACAGTGAGGTTAGACAAAGGGTATTAGTGAATGATGGTAAATCAGTTGATGAGGTTTTGAATCTTCATCGACTGAAATGGTTGGGCCATATGTTACGTATACCTGAACACAGATTACCACGACGCGCAATGCTGACTAGTACTGTGGATGATTGGAATACAGTTAGGGGCGGTCATACCAATACGTGGCATCAGTGCTTGAAGTCACTAACTTCTGGTCTGAGCCATGTTAGTAGATGCACACTACTTGGTTCGGTGTCTGCGCGACCATCGTAACCAATGGTTGTAGACTCTGAGTGCCATGGCGCGGAATCGATCACAATGGCGTAGGTGTATACTCTTTGCTTTCCCGTAAACCATGGGATTAAAATCACTTGATACCTTCATTTCTACAAACTAATTCTTTCTTCCTGTATCATATACGCAATCTTTCTTTTATATATTACTACCATTGAAGTGACTACTTCTATGAATTTGGTATTCATCATGTTGCGCTAATGAGGTGTGGCAACTTGGACCGACGCATATATGTACCTGGTCCTATGTCGTAACTGAATCTTCCATATTCACCAACCCGGTTAAAGTGACGAACATTCGCTTTTTGTCTCCTAAATTTCGTAAACACCCCTACAACGAGAAGGCAGTGACTAGAACTTCCTCAGCAGTGGCTGTATACATAAGGCCATGTGAGAGCATTTAGAAATGGAGAGTCGACTCTCCCCACCCTCAATCTTACCAGGGTATTTGGGGGGATCTAGCAGCACATGAAATCATCTTGTTCACGGCCAAATACATTTGTCACTTCTTAATGCGTTTTTCTATCCCTAATATCAACCCTTACCCTATGGTTTCATCTGTATCCACAAGTGTTACCTTTGCAAATGGTTTGAGTTCACTAAGTATTGTTTGTGGTCTGCTGAAACCGTACTACAAACTGGATATTAGGGCTTTTAACGTGGGAACCTTATGTGAAATTGAACAGGCATCATTAGCTAGTACTCTGAAAACTCATCCAATTGGTCTGCAACATATCTACGATTTTTATGTACAGGATTCAAATGTAGTCATTCATTTGACCTTAGCTGGTCAATATAAAGAACTACTGCGATTTACCACTTGTGTATTTGGAGACTTCAATGCTACTTCTCGTAGTCTCGCTGGTGTATGTATAGTATTAACTTCGAAAGCAGAACATGTTCTTCTGGACTGCATTACGATGAGTAGTCGCTTGTGCACTGTCCGATTAAATGATATGGTAAGGACACAAACCGATCCCCCTACGTTCTCTCTGCTTGTCTGTCAGTCAGTCGGCTACAAAGTAGGACCGGGCACATATATGCATCGGTCCAAATTGCCACACCGCATTAGCACAGCAAGATGAACACTGGATTCATAGTAGTTAAGTCAATGGTGGTAATATATAAAAGAAAGATTGTATATAAGGATATATTACAGGAAGAAAGAATTAGTAAGTAGAAAGAAAGATATGAAGCGACTTTAATCTCTTAGTTTAAGGGAAGACAGACTAATAAAAGAAACTGGAATTAATAAGTCAAATGTAAGTAAAACTATCTCGGAAAAAGACGACACTCTCAGCTGCTGCCAATTCAGATGTTTACAACGATGGGCGGAACATTTTAGAGAACAGTTCGGCGCTCCTATAGGATGCAATTTGGATGAAAAAGATTAGTTTTACAAAACAGATTCCTGATGTTAAAACGTAATAATCGTAGTAGGCGATTTTAATGCCCACGTAGGTAATCTAAGACAAGCTGAAAAAGACATGACTGAATATATTAGCGTTCCGGATTACTGCAACTGTCTGTTATAAGTATCCTGATAGTCGTTTATTTATAACAAGCACAAAATTTAACTATAGAAACGCGCATTGTTTGACATGGCGACTTTCAATATTAACTAAAAGGGAGATGAAAATAGACCATCCTAATATCAGGCGTCAATGGAGCTCGACTGAAGTACTACAACTAGTGTTGAAGTATACATTTAGACTTTACGTTCTGGTATGCGCTTCCCTGTTTCACTGAACACGGAAAATTCGCAATATGAAAAACCCTTAAAGTTTAGGCTACACTGGTACGATCGAAACGTCGGGGGATAAGTCTACTTCTGATTGCGTCCAAGCCATTGGCTTCCGTTATACTTGGTAGGTTGTTCAAAACCCCAGAAGGATTGACTCGCGAGGAGCAGGCTGGGTTTCGTTCTGGACGATGACGTATTGATCATATCTTCACCCTCCGCCAAATGTTAGAAAACTGTCATACTTATCAAAGGCCAACAATCGTAGTGTTTCTTGGCATCAGGGCTGCCTTCGATTCGTTGGACAGGACTGTTCTCTGGGATTGTCTATTGAAGAAGGGTGTGCCTGAGAAGTTTAGCAACACCTTAAAGGCCCTATATACAAACACCTCAGGCAGAGTGAGGGCATACAACCCCCTTTCTCCATTGTCCCATTCAAGCAGTGGGGTTACACAGGGTTGCCCAATCTCACCATTCCTCTTCAACTTTGCCATCGATGACATTCTGGAAACAGCTCTGATGGATGTAAGTAACGGTGGTGTGGATCTGTTGCCTGGAGAAAGACTTCTCGACCTTGAGTATGCGGATGACATTATCTTACTGTGCGAGAATGCAGTCAGTCAGTCAGTCAGCTGCAACGTAGGACCAGGCACATAGATGCATCGGTCCAAGTTGCTATACCTCATTAGCACAACAAGATGAACACCGGATTCATAGAAGTAGTTAATTCAGTGGTGGTAATACATAGAAGAAAGAGTGTGTATAAGGAGATAGTACAGGAAGATAGAATTAGTTCGTAGAAAGAAAGATTTGAAGTGATTTTAATCTCTTAGTTTAAAGGAAGACAGAAAGTGTATACACCGACGCCATTCTGATCGATTCTGAGCCATGTCACCAAGAATCTCCAACCATTGGTTACGATAGTCACGCGGACCCCAACCAGGTAGTCTGCATCTACCAACATGGCTCAGACCAGAAGTTAGTGACTTCAAGCACTGATGCCACGTTTTGGTTTAGCTGCTCCTAACTTTCTTCCAATCATCCCTAACACCGGTTAGCATTGCGCGTCGTGGTAATCGGTGTTCAGGAATACGCAGCACATGGCCCAACCATCTCAGTCGATGAAGATTCATAACCTCATCAACTGATTTACTATCATTCCCTAATACCCTGCGTCTAACCTCACTATTACTTACTCGGTGGTCCCAGCAGATGCGAGCAATATTTCTAAGGCACCTGTGGTCAAATACTAGTAACTTACGAATATCTTCTACTCTTAAAGGCCATGTTTCGCAGTCGTATAGTAGAACGGAACGAACTGCCGCACAGTATACTCGTCCCTTAATTGATAGACGGATATCTCGCCTTCGCCATAGATGATGTAAGTTGGCAAAGGCCAAGCGAGCTTTTCCAATCCGTGCTGAGATTTCGTCAGACACCAATACATTAGGGCTGATCAGACTTCCAAGATAAGTGAAGTTGTCAACGCGTTCGACTACTTCACCCCCTATCCTTAGTTCAGGTGTTGACGCAGACCAGTCCTGAAGCAACAACTTGCATTTGGAGGGAGAGAAGATATGGCTCAGAATAGAAGCCAGTGGCGATCCTGCTGTAACCTTCTTTTACTTTCTTCATAAAAAGTGGTTGTATCTTCCTTAATAGAAAGATTTCTTCTGGCTGTACCTTTCCGTTTCCCTGATTATTATTATTACACTTCCTTACACTAATCTGGTCATTACTCTTCCTCTCCTTCCTTTTTATCTTTAACGCCCCGACTTTTCTTTCTCTCCTCATTCTCATTGTTTTGTGTGGTGCATATATATTTGGTGCCCCCTTGTACCAATATTTCGAGAGGGAGAGCGGACTCTCCCCACTCTCGGCCGTACCAGGGCATTTGGCGGCCTTGGATCTTACAAAAGTTCGTTCACATTTCCGAATTCCACCGAAGGGTGTTGAAATAACAAACCTTTTAAACATCAGCAGCAAGATGTTAACTCTATATTATCAATAATATTTTAGACATGTGACTCAGGTTGGAATGAAAATTAATGCTGACTTAATTATATTACATACGGGCTTTCAATATTTTACGAAAAATAAATAATATTGCACTTTACTGTGAAACCTTGTATTGGTTTAGTCTATTGTTGGGAATAAGAATATACACGTAATGTTGGCTTAGAAAGCAGTAAAAAATATATATCTGAGATGTTTTGGGCGAGTTTACCAAACAAATGACATACCTTATAGATGGAGTATTGAAATTCCCATCGGCAATTTTCACCAACGTTACAGAACATTTTCCTAAACCATGACTAAGGAGAATCATAATCAACTATAATTAACTTACTGCAAAGTGAGAAAACCAAGGATTACGCATGCCATCCGTACTGGTATAAAAGTCAAATTCCATATGGTAAAACTTAACAACGTAAATAACACTAAAGACCTACCCAATGGATGCAAACTTATACTCCGCAAGGTGCAACGCCCGAGAAACATGCAGGAAGAAGTCAGTACCGTAGTGAAGAACAAGAACTACCATACATAATTTAGTTAATCTAAAATTAAAGTCTATCGACATTTTTTTGATAGTTACCCTCCAACATAAGCCAAAGATATGCCGAGAAGATACATTGTTGCATGAAACAGTCGTGCAGGTATGAGTTCCTACCAAGGGTTCAGTTTTCAAACACATAACTTACACTTCTTACACGCTGAAAATAAAGCTCTGGATAGTCATGAAGCCAGTAGCAAATCTGGAAGTAATAGTTGATAAAATATCTTACTTGAGTAATGAAAAACAATTTGATCCAGAATGGCAACCATCTCTGCGGATAATTATCCCACAAACTACTCAAATTTTCTATAAAACCTTCGTTAATAATACTGTAAGCTGCCCAAACTGTGGACAAAGCATAAAAGCATGCAAGGTGGGCAGACTCGTTAAATTTAGCTAGCCGAACCTTTGTCAAACTTAACTTTCGAGTCACTTTCTGAATGACGAATGTTACTGATTATAAAAAAACTTACGTCAAAGAGATACTCTTGAAGTACGGCATGGGATACGATACATATAAGAGTGTAAAAAAATATTACGCATAAATCTTTTGCTCCTGGGCTGTATAATAAGGCATTTTCTTGGTCTGAAAATTCAGGCTTAAAACCCACAATGACCTACTTTCGTCGGTGTTATTGTACTGGATGAATATGAAGGATGAAGACAAAACATGGGTTCCCTATGTTAAATTAACATAATTTATTTGCTTCAGCAAACCTTGTGCAGCAAACCAACGATGATTAGCATCGCCAAAACACTGACAATGTCCCCATGATTTGTAATAATGAATTCATGAGAAAAATAGGGGGGATTTTTAGTCTTTTTGCGCCCAAACCTGCTGTTCATCACTTCACTGCAACGTAGATGAGAAATTGATGTCAGCGCAGTAACACGAAGACCTTAAGATGTGGCTAAAAATCGATTGTTTAAAGCAGTTCAACCTCCAATTCAGATTCAGATTCAGATTTGTATAGTAAGAACAGAAGGCCTACGGCCTATGTTATTCCTTTTCTAGTATGCTTCTGTGAGTGTCCAGACTTCTCTTGAAAGAGTCAATTGAAGGTGCGGACACCACTGCTTCGGGCAGCGGGTTCCAAGTATTGATGACTCGGAGTGAGAACCTGTATGCCACAGGTATTTTGTTCGTTCCTGGCTTTTCTACTCGCCTGCTATGTCCTCTGAGATGTCCCGATCTAGTGGGAAAAAAAGAGAGAGTAAGTTAGGTCCAAAATCATTTCTCAGTATTCTGCACATCAAAATTAAATCTCCCTTTAATCTGCGATAGAACAGTGTGAAGATAACTAGCTTTTCAAGCCGCCCTTTGTATGGTAAACCTCGGAGTTCTGGAGTTGCACGTGTGGCCGCCCTCTTTACTTTTTGGGATATTCGAATAGCATTTTAAACACGGGCTTGCGGCCGGAACGCAGTTCTCAAGCTTAGTTCTCACTAAGGACGTGTATACTTCGGTGAACATGATAGTATCTAGCTTAGTGAATGTCCGTTTTAATGCCCAGAGGGTTCGAAACCTCTTAGCTGCGACCTCCCGGCAATGGGTGATCGTCATAAGATCCTGACTTACTGTCACCCCCAGATCCTTATGAGACCGAACCACTGGTATTAGCACTTCCCCTGTTATACCTATTAACATTTGAGTCCCCGAAGTGCATGTAGGCACACTTTGCCGCGTTGATAGGCACCAACCACTCTTTAGACCAGTTAATTATATTATTTAGGTCTGCCTGAAGAGCATCTGAGTCTGTGTCTCCGGTTATTACTCGCCAGATCTTTACATCGTCAGCGTATAATAACATTGGAGACCGTGCTATACTTGGAACATCATTGACATACATTATGAAGAATAAAGGACCTAGGACGGAACCTTGAGGCACTCCACTAAGCTTTGATCTCCAGATGGAGCACTTGGAATTTATTCTTACCTTCTGTCTACGACCTACTAGGAAATCCTTAATGCATTTTAAGAGAGGTCCAGCAATACCAAGGTTTTCCAACTTCAATAAAAGTTTATTTGTTGGCACCTTGTCAAAAGCCTTACTGAAGTCTATGTAGACAACATCCAATGAGTTTCCATTGTCTAGCGCCTTTATCCGAAATTCCCTTGCTAAAAGGAGGTTTGTTGTACAGGATAGACCCTTTCTAAAACCATGTTGTTCCATGTTGTTTCAATAAATTCCATTATTATCCGTTTGACTATTCTTTCCAATGTTTTAACTACAACGCTGGTGAGGGTTACAGGTGTGTAGTTCGATGGAACCTGTCTTGGTCCTGTTTTATGTATGGGAGTGACGATTGCGTCCTTCCAGTCCTTAGGTAACACACCTTGATTAAGTGACATATTGAATATCACAGTCAATGGAGCCGCGATATATTGTGCAATGTGTCTCAAGATTTTAGGGTGTAGTTCATCTGGTCCTGTTGACTTTTCCATGTTTAAGGTGCTAAGAGCCTTAAGCACATCGTCTTGGTCGAAGTCCGCGGTGATCAGGTGGTTTACTGACTCTTTATTTTGGTCTGGTTCTTTGTCCAAAGGAGGTTCCTGAGTGAAAACTACCCCGAAATAGTCAGCCATAGCCTCTGCTTTGTCCTGATCTTCCTCTATCATTTCAGATTCACTCCCTTCTTTAATTAGATTTGGAATCCAATGATGCATCCTTGTTCTGTGGTTTATGTACGAGAATATTCTCTCGGGCTGCTTGAGTCGTGATTGTGCCAACTACATTTCATATTTTCTTTGAGCTTCTCGAATTTTTGCTATAGACTTGTTTATTACCGATCTGTAGCGTTCCATCGTACCTGCTGTGCCAAGGCGGATGGCGACATCCCGACATTTCTTCTTTTGTAACAGTAAACGTAAATATCCCTGCCCACCCAGGGATGGCTGTGCTTCTTCTTCTTTGGGACTGTCCATGGTATGTATGGTTGAGTTACTCGGTTGTATAACTGCCTGAAATGCGTCCATGCCTCTTGTACTGATGCCGTTGAGTCAATTTCCCAGTTTTCAGCCGATGCTGCGGAGTTGATGGCCTCCATATCTGCCTTCCATATGTTACGACAGGCCGGCGAAACTGTTTGACAGGCAATCTCAGCCAAGAATTTGAATAAGATGACTGCGTGGTCACTTTTCCCTAGTGGTAGGAGGAAAGTCATTTGACCAACGTCATCACCGTGTGTGAAGACTAAATCTAAAAGTGAGGAGTTTCTTAAGTCATATCTTGTGGGAGTTCTAATGTGTTGGAAGAAAGCTAAGGCAATCGAGGTTTCTAACAGTTTGCAATCGGACGACCTTGTAGATGATCATACTTCTAAGTTAACCCAGTTTATATACGGTGCGTTAAAGTCGCCTACTACAAGGCTTTTACCATTGCTGCACCAGGACTTAAGTTTACTTAGGAGAAAATTATCTACCACGCATTCTGGACTGCGATACACTACAACTAATTCAAAATCTCGCCGTCTACATTTCAGCCTATATCGCACCAATTCACATGTTCCTGAAACAATAACAGGTAGTTTCAAACTGTTATGGATAGAATCGAAAAGCCTTCCTCCTTCGTAGGCCTCTGTGTTCAATAATGATAAATCATCTATTACCCTAAGTACTAACCTAAAAGAGACCGAAGGTATCCGTATCCAACGAAAATGTTCAATTATGTGACATCCAGTATTTTCGTGACGAGAACCCGTTCATTTATTTGCTCTCACTTCTTGACGGTAGTGTACAACTTCATGTCTTTAATGTCATCGACTGTTGATATCTTATCAATTCAGTCACACTATATCTAGTAAACTCGATAGTTTTTGGAGGTTTATGTGTCTTGAGTATATATGGATCATGCTAGTTCTAAGTCGATAGAATTACTAGAACCAGCGGTTATCCCGTTATGGCGCAGTATATTCAAATAGTTTAAATGGTTCTGGACGGAATAGAAGCTGTCGCTTAACGGGCTTCCGAATATAGTAGCAGTGGACCACTAATGCATCTAAGTAAGAAACTATGAATATTTAACGATAAAAGAGGGGAAAACAAATCGGCGAATTATAACGAGGTACTATCCTTATATATTGAAAATATGTCAAGATTTATCCTTAAGAACTCCTGCGGAGTCGCTTGGACTACCTCAGCCAGCATCTGACTACTTTTATGAAGTAGGTTGTATCCACAGTCCGTTTCTGGATGTTACTCCCAAGGTTCGTGTTGCGACTAAGCTTAAGTAGTTGGTTTTGGGGGATTCCCAGAAGTTTTCAGGTTGCTGTAAGTCACCAGGTCACCTTTAAGACGCCTGTAGTGTGATGGGTAAAGGTTCAGTGATTAGAGGTGATGTTCATAAGAGTTAAATTTAAGTCCCTTAACTGATTTCGCGGTTCTCCTCAGAACACGCATCAGTCTGTTTTTATCCTCATGGAGTGAATCAGGAAACACTACGTTTCTATACGATAAATAGGGTCGAATAAAGCTGTTGAAGATTAGGTAAGAATTTCTGCCGCCGAACTGGCCGAAAATACTCCGGAACGTTATAATTATAAGATTTACTCCAGAAGTATTTTTGTTGCAGTCAACACAAGACTTTAGGTCATAGCATATCAATACTTCTAGATCCTTAATAACTTGTAAAACTTCTAGAGGGGATTTACCTAAGTTCCGTTCATGGTCTGCAACATGCCTTAGGTAGACTAATTTGCACTTCGAAGTGTTAAGAGCAAGTCATCTGCCCAACTTTGAAGTCCCTTCAGATCTTCCTGAAATATCACTTTATCCTTTTGGTTGCAAACATCTCTCCATAACTTCACATCACCAGCTAAATGTAATAAGTCTGACAATACCTGCAGTGAAAAATCGCCTAAGTAAATTAAGAAAACAAGCCCTAATACCCTAGAGGACCCCACTAGAATATTCGTAGACTAAAAAAGTGAAGTTAACCTTGACCGTAAACAGGCAGTTATTTGGATATGAAGTAAGTCAGTTAATTACTGGTGATTTGATACCTAACAGTTTGAGCCTAGTGATGAGACATAAAAGATTGACTCTACTGAAATATTTTAACAAGTCTAAGTTTATAACAGTTAGCTCTTACCATCAGGGATGGTTTTCCATTTGTACACGGCGGTCAGTAGGTCGATTATACAACAGTGACCTTTTCTGGAACCGTACTTTTGAAGTGGATGACAGCTTATGGATAGTAAGCTGCCATGTAGACCGTCACATATCAGGGACTCCATAATTTGTAAGGGTACTAAGAGAAGTGCTACCGGTTTGCAGCCTGAAGGTTCTCTACGACGACCTCCTTTGAAAATTGGGGTGTTGTAAGCCAGCTTCCAATTTTTCGGTAGCATGCCTCGGCTTAGCGGATATGAGAATATCACAACAGGTGGCGTAGTTAAAATTAAAGCCGCTTCTCTCAGTATAGTAGAATGGACCATAACCGGACCAGGAGAAATATCTGGCAAAATTTAAGAAGATGGTTAATTTTACATGCAAAGCCTGCTCACACCACTCACCTCAATCAAAGATTCTTCGTTCCGTTACGACATACCCATTTTGATATGTTTTCAACTTATATTACTCAACGGTTGATTAGGAGTAAATAGCTTATGTATTTAGCATTTTAAAAATGAATACAACTCCCACATATCAAAAGCAAAAAATCTGAGGAGGTGGGGTAGCCTAATATTTCCGACTAATATATTTTTTAATGTTTTTGTTAATAAAATGAAATAGGTGAAACGATACGAAAATAATGGTTTTTGTTAAGTTAGATAAACGCAAGATATTAGTAGATGCATGATTACATTTTAAGCTGCAGCCAAAACTGTGGATATTTTTGACTGAA